GCTGCTTGGTTTTACAGTTAATGCATACAAAGCATCCTGGCATGTGTGTAGCCATGGCTGTTGGAGGGTGAGCAAGTTGGACAGATTTCCTAGTGTCTCCTAAAAGGCTCTTATAGATACCTTGCTTGAGTGAGAAAGACAAGCTCTGGTCCCTCTGATCTTATTTGTATGCAGACCATGATTCCTGAAGCTTCTGCAATTGGGAAAAGGCTACATGTTGAGAGTACATTATCCTGGTCAGAGGTATATTCCAAAGTTCTGAGTTGATAAAGAAATGAAGGTCCCCGAGTCCCTAGTAGAGAAGCACCAGCTACTATCCTGGTGTAGTAGCACAGTCAGTAATTCATTCACCCATCTCATTCATTTATTTGATATTTGTTGAAAGCCAACTATGCGACAGGATGCATATCCAGCAAAAAGCGTCTCTCAACTTTGGGAAGGATAATACAAAGCAAGAAAAAATGCTGTCCCTATTGTCCTTCTCACTTACTGGTTCTTTACTCACTTACATACTTACATACAGTAACAGAGAAAGCTCCTTCCATTCAATCCTAACAAATACCAGCAGTCTGGGATACCATTAAAAGCACACCTCTCATCTCTTACTCTGCCCTGGCCTCTCAACTGAGAATTCTGCTGACTTGGTCAATTTGTTTTCCTATGCTGAACCTCAGATGCAAACTGCTACAATTTTAGCTAGGACGTCTCCCTGAGATACTGCATAACTCAGATGACTGTGATCCTTTATAGGACACAAGCTTAAGATGTATCTTGTTTGCCAAGGCTTGAGAAAATATCTTCCAGAGGCACACATGAAGAGAGAGGCTGGTCAGAGAGCAGCAGGGGTGGGAGGAGGGTGGGATGGATTGAACTGTGCAGCAAGGAGTCAGGGACCCAGGGAGTATTGCCAGCAGCCCTGGGGAGAACATGTCCCATGGTTGAACTCTTTAAGGAGTATTGGTACTTTTACAGAAACTTTTTTTTGGAGGGGTGGTTCTTAATGGGTCCCTTTATTTAACTTACATGTTATGCTTATTGATAAATTTTGGCTTGTTTCTACATTTTTTTCCCAGACTGGAAATTGAACTCAGGGGGCACTCTACCACTGAGCTATATCCCCAACCCTTTTTATTGTTTTTGCTTTGAGATAGGGTCTCACTAAGTCACCCAGGTTGGTCTTGAACTTGTTGATCCGCCTGCCTCAGCCTCCCAAGTCCCTGGATTACCAATGTGAGCCACTGTGACTCATGGTGTTTTTTGTTTTTTTCATTTATGAACTTTAATAGATCATACATAGATGGGATATAATTTCTCATTTTTCTGAGTGTATATGTTTGCAGAATCATATTGGTCATGCAGTCACATATATACATACAGTAATAATGTCTATTTCATTTCACTATTTTTCCTATCCCCACATCCCCTCCTTTTTCCTCCCATCACTTCGCTCTACCTAAGGTAATCTAAGATAACACTATTCTTCTCTAGTACCCCCACCTTACTGTGAATTAGCATCCTTATATTAGGAAAAAAAATTGGCCTCTGGTTTTGTGGGATTGGCTTATTTTGCTTAGCATGATATTCTCCAATTCCAACCATTTACTGACAAATGCCATGATTTCACTCTTCTTTAAAGCTGAGTAATATTCCATTGAGTACATATACCACATTTTCTTTATCCATTCATCTATTGAGGAACACCAAGGTTGATCCCATAGTATAGCTATTGTGAATTCAGCTGCTATAAACATTGATGTGGCTGCATCACTATAGTATGTTGATTTTAAGTCCTTTGGGTATAAACCAAGGAGTGGGATAGCTGGGTCAAATGGTGATTCCATTTCCAGTTTTCTAAGGAATCTCCATAGTGCTTACCATAGTGGTTGCACCAATTTGCAGTCCCACCAGCAATATATGAGTGTACCTTTTCCACGACACCTTTGCCAACATTTATTGTTGCCTATATTCTTGATGATTGCCATTCTTTACAGAAACTTTCAAAAATGCATATTTGGAATTAATATTATCTACTTTAAAAAAAGTATACAAAAAAGTAATATATTATGATAACTGAACAGATAAGAGAAGCTGGTAAGAATGTCTCATTTCCCCCATGATTTGGAGTTATCACCATAAGCGTTTTCATTCCTTTTGTTTAAAATTATATTTTTAGAACTTCTGCTGACTCTGAGATTGTCTCAAAATTAAAACTGCCACATAATCAGATGCATTTGGGATTTCATTGTCTGACCCCCTTGCTGATAAGGATCAGGTCATGGTCCTCAGTTTCATTGACTGAAAGAAAATATTGCAAGAACTTTCCAGGGTAATTCATCTAATTAGATCAAAAGTAAATGAGGGCTGGGATTGTGGCTCAGTGGTCGAGCACTCGCCTAGCACGTGCAAGGTCCTGGGTTTGATCTTCAGCACCACATAAAAATAAGTAAATAAAGATATTGTGTTCAACTACAACTAAAAATTTTTTTAAATAAATAAAGTAAATGAAGCATCTTTGGTTTTTGCCTCTTGTTTTATTCTTTCCTTCTCTTTGTACTTGAGAAAGCACACTTAATTTGAAAGGTTTAGGACCAAGTTAAGGGAATAGATATAAGTAAATTAGATAGGTATAAATAAATGTAACAACAACAACAACAACAATAAACCCTTATCTCTCTAAATCCACATTCACTTCTTGTTGCCAGTTTTAGGATGATACCTGAATCTTTGTGAGTTCAGTGAAGTATTTGTCATTTTGTGGATTCAAAATGTTAAATAATAAGATAGAAAGCCACCAAAAATACAAACCAACAAATCAGTACTCATCCAAGGAATAAACAAATGACTTTAGTTCATTTGAATATACATACTATTCTATCATTCACAGAGTATCACTCATTATGCACATAAGGATTGAGCACTTAACGTATGCCAGATGTCATTCCAGACATCAGAAATACAATGGTTTATTTTTTTTGTGGCTTAAAGGAAAAATTCTGTAATTCATGATGCTTACATTGTGGCTAGAAAGACAGAAATAAATTATATAAATATGATAAATACATAGTACATAAGAAAGTGGTGAATGCTAAGAAAAAGACTAAGCAGGGAGACAGAATGAATGTGAATATTTTAGACAAGATGAAAAGAGCCCCACTGAGAGTACAACTTCTGAGTAAATACCAGAAGATTGTAAGGGTGCTTGCTAGCCACCTGAAGAAAACTTTTCAGGGAGAGTGAGCAGCCGTGAATACGCCCTGAGGCTAGTACTTGGCATGTCTGAACATCAGTGATACCACCACTGCAGTTTCTGAAAAAGGAGTGAGTGACGGACCTAACATATTCAGATATCTTCGTTATCATCATTATCATCATCATCACTTTTCATCATTCTCACAAAAACTTTAACAGAAAAATTAAGCACCACCACTGAAGGATGGATCATACAATATGCACTCAGATATAGAGAGGTAAATTGGGTATCAATGAAAGAACATTCAGTGCAGGATGGGCTGGGAGTACCAGCATTTGCTACACATTACAAAAAAATATTTTAGCTATTAAGCCTTCCGGAGCAAGCAGCTTTTACTTTTACCACAGATCCAGAAACAGATCTTGATCCTTCCACACAAATTGTCATTAGTTTTTATATAAACAAAATTAATTCATAAACTATTCATACATCTTACTAAAAATTAAGTATCCTTTAAATATTTGAAAATACCACCTCTCCTATCTTTGAATCTGTTTTGTGATATTCTTTTTTTTTTTGTATACAGATTTTGGTTTTAGGTTTTATTTTTTTTTATTGGTTGTTCAAAACATTACAAAGCTCTTGACATATCATATTTCATGCATTAGATTCAAGTGGGTTATGAACTCCCATTTTTACCCCAAATACAGATTGCAGAATCACATCGGTTACACATCCACATTTTTACATAATGCCACATTAGTAACTGTTGTATTCTGCTACCTTTCCTATCCTCTACTATCCCCCCTCCCCTCCCCTCCCATCTTCTCTCTCTACCCCATCTACTGTAATTCATTTCTCTCCTTGTTTTTTTTCCCATTCCCCACAACCTCTTATATGTAATTTTGTATAACAATGAGGGTCTCCTTCCATTTCCATGCAATTTCCCTTTTCTCTACCCTTCCCTCCCACCTCATGTCTCTGTTTAATGTTAAACTTTTTCCTCCTGCTCTTCCTCCCTGCTCTGTTCTTAGTTGCTCCCATTGTGTCTAAAGGAAGGGCAGCTCTACCACATCATCAATTTTTGAGAAGACCTTAAAAGAAGGCTCCTTGTTCTAAAAACCACTTAAAGCCCAAATCCAGAACTGGAATTGAAATGAAATGATTGGCACTAACTACTAGATGGCACTTCATATCAAATGACACTACTAAACTTCTATTGCTTTTTTTTTTTAATTTAGAGAGAGAGAGAATTTTTAATTTTTATTTTTTTAGTTTTTTCAGCGGACACAACATCTTTGTTTGTATGTGGTGCTGAGGATCGAACCCGGGCCGCAAATGCCAGGCGAGCGTGTTACCGCTTGAGCCACATCCCCAGCCCCTTCTGTTGCTTTTTGAAGTGTCTTACTCATTACACTTTCTATGGCTGAGCTATAACCTTAGCCCCTCATTACACTTTCCATAGAGAATTGTCATTGAATCATTTGTAGTGAACTTCCCATTATCATTGAGACAGCATCTATTATTATATTTACAAGACCATTTGTTTTAAGCCATAACTGGTTATTCAGACACAATTTAAAAGCCAGTACTTATGAGCAAATTAGTGACAGGTTGGCACTCATAGACGGAAATGGCACTTTTTTAAAAAGTTATTCTTAAAACAAATTGGAATCTCTTAAGGGATAAAAGAGAAACTAACATGTTACCCTGTAGTTTTTTTCTAGTTCTAATTAGGTATTTTACGCTTTAAATTTTGGAATAAGCAACCAAGATTCACAGCACAAATACACTGCACATGGACACTTACCACTTGACTCTGAAGCCACTCAATAAGCGTTTCTGCTGTAGAATCGGGAATCTGGCATCTCAAGCCCTCCTTCTCATCTGTTTCCATCATCTCTAACAATCCACGAAGATCTTCTACAAGGTGTAGAGCTCGCAAACTTCCCATGAATGGAGAGGTGGGAGACTGGCAATCGAAGATCCCATTGGAATATTCCAGGGCCTTAGAACCTAGATTAAAAAAAAAAATAAGACAGAAAGCAAGAGAATTTATGATCGATAAAACATCATAGCTGAAGGGGGTAAACCACCTAATTAATCAAAACAAGAAACAGGGTAAGACAATAATTTTATCATGTAAATCTTCCCAAGTCACAGATATTTGATGGAAAAATAAAACCATCTAATTGATGATACTTATCAATGGTGCAATATCTAACAAGGAGGCCAACTGTATGGTATAAAAAGAAAAAGAACATGGTAGTCCTTGATGTAAGGTGTGCTGCGCCCAGAAAACGACAGATGAAAAGGTGGCACAGCAGTTTTGGTAGAGTAATGCATTTTAGAAAAAAAAAATTTTAGAGAATTTATAGTCTTCAAATTCCCTGAAAAGGAGCTATGCATGGAGGCAGAAATTTGATAGCACAATTCCAAAGACAAGAAGTCCAACTCCCAGTTAACTTGCCAGAATTAAATTCATACAACTGCTTAAATTCATACAACTGACCCAAAGCCCATTCTGAAAACAAGCATATATTGCTCTTTGTCTCTTTTATTTTTATTTTCTCATGTGTCCAAAATGACTTAAATTTCTGGCTTAGGAAATGGTAGATAGAGGGTTATGAAATGAAGTGAGATACAGGCTACTAGAGAGACTTCCAGGGAAAGATACTAAACTCAATTTTTGTTTGTTTGGTTGGTTGGTGTTTTGTGCTAGGGATTGAACCCAGGCACACATTACATAACTCAATGTTTTAAATAATGACACTGATGTACCTCTATGACATTTCAGGGGAGAGATCTGGCTGGCAATTAGAGTTATAGACCTGAAGTTTAGTGGATTGGGACTTTACCAGAGTCACTGGTAAAGTGTATATTGAAGAGAACAGATCATTCATGGATGTGGGGTAGAGCACTAACCCTCAAAATAAAGTCCATGAATCACTTACATCAGAACAGCCTGAGATGCAAATTCTTTAACCTTGATGAAAAATCTAGGATAAAATTGGAATTTTTGATATTTAAAAATAAAATTTGAGAATAATTCTGGTAAAGAATGGAGAAGAACAAAGATAAAATCATGGGGAACCTAAAGACATTGGGCAGAGAACTAATAGTGAAAATAAGACAAAGTGTAGGAAGTAATAGAAGAGTTGTAATGAAAAAGTCAAATGAGCAGAGGAACTGTCGTTATTCCATTCTTCAGAAGATCAGATTACCTGCTATAATACCATCCATCTGCTCTAGTGCCGCAGCCAACATGTCACTTGCATCACTCATCATTTTCTTATTTGTCAATGGCAAATTTGGATGAAGATCTGAAAAGAAATAATATCATTACATGCTTAAAATGATGCATGCCTGCTAGTGGAGTCTGCTAATTCCACTTCAAATTATAACTCCACTTGGCAGTCAAATAGAGAGAGAGAGAACTTCAGAAGTAGTGGAGCTGAATTAACTGAATTTTTTAATAGGCTGTGGCCAATCATTTACTGTAATGTACCCATATCAGTTAATAAAATAAGTTTCAGTTCTTGCACTCAAGGTTATTTAAAGTTCAGTAGAGGCCTGCAGATATAGCTCACAGGTAGAGCGTTTGCCTAGTATGTACAAGGCTCCGTTTTCACTCCCCAGCACAGCAATCAATCAATCAATTAATCAATCAATAAAAACCCAACACAATGATTTCCATGTTGTTCTCTTTAGAGCCCCAGGAGTCTGCAAAGGGCATCAGGAAGGTGATAGAAGCCTAATGAGGGCCATGGGGGCTCAGAAAGACTTCTTTCTGACTGTACCATTTCTACCCAATCTCTGCTCTCTTAATTTTTCAGTATTGGGAATTGAACCCCAGGGGTACTCTACCATTGAACTATATTCCCAGCCCTTGTATTATTTTTTGAGATAGGGTCTTGCTAAGTTGCCTTAGCTTCCCAAGTTGTTGAATCACGAGGGTGTTCTACTGCACCTTGCTTTTAAAATTTTTCTAAATGCAAGTTTATAGTAAGATCTAAGAAAAGGGTTTAACTGTATATACACAGTCATCCCTTGGCATCCCTGGGGGACTGGTTCAAGGACTCCTCCTTGGATACCAAAATCCATGGATCCTAAATGCCTTTATATAAAATAACATGGTATCTGCATAGATTACTTATAATACTTAATACAATATAAATGGTATATAAATAGATGTAAAATTGCATTGTTTAGGGACTAAAAACAAAAACAAAAGTCTGTACATGTTCATCAGAGATGCAATTTTTAAAAACATTTTCCATCTGCAGCTGGTTATATCTGTGGATACAGAGGACCAACTGTACTAAACACCCCTACCCCCAACTACTGGTACTTTGTAATATAACAACAGCTATCATGTACTGAGTACCTGTAGTGGTCCCCACACTGTTACGTAATTATTTATAATATTCATAACAACAACTCTATGGAATGGATAAATTTATCTCTCCATTTTATAAATGAGGACTGAGATGTTTGATATTTGTAAGGAAACAGCAAGTAAATAGAGAAAAGAATGCCCTTCATAGAACCAAGGTCTCTCTGACTTCCATTATAATGGTGAATTTTTATTTGATTCTATCTCAGGAGTAGATTTATTCTGAAATTGTGTCACAATTTTTACCTGTGAAAATATATTGAAATTATACTTCTAAAAAATTGGCCACTGATAGGAAAAAGTCAAGATTATATGATTTTCAACATTAGTTAATTAATGCTTTTTTAGGTACCAGTGTAGGCAGCCATGTGGATTCTCCCAAAAGGCCTGAATAAGGCTCTTGCTGTTTTGTAGATATTGTGGTGTACTAAATATCTGGGAAATAAAGAACACGCTGTTTAACAGAAACCTTTGCCCTCTGTTACCAAGCAGCCACATAGTACTTACCACTTTATCTTCATAAATATATTTATAGCTCTGTTATCAGTTTCTTGGATCAGTTCTCTCCTATTCTTTCTAATAAAATGCCACATAATTCTTCTGAAATATTACTTTGATTTTTTTAAAATGTTAGCTTATAGTAAGATCAAATAGGTGTCTGACGGGCAAAACGCTTTAAAATACTTGCTGTCCATATCTTGTGGGGGTTTTTTTGTTTGTTTGTTTTGGTTGTTGTTTAATCAGAAACCAAGAGGTCAACAAGCTAGGTTACAAACCTGGAGAAATTTTAAATTTTTACTCAAATACTCAGCTGTCACAGACCAAAGAGATGGGACACAAATTTAATAGCCACAATTCAGGCTGGATATTTGAAATATGAAAACTGAGAGTATAACAGATTAAGTAGAAGAGTGTGACAATCCCTGAATTTCACATAATTAAGTGGCTCCCATTCCCTTTCATTTTAAAAGTAGCAATATATACACACATATGTACATACATAAACGTGTACATATGTGTACATATAAAACAAAGACAAACACATCAGGCTCAGCTATAGACATAGGAATACCAATAAAAGTAATGCCCACATTAGAAAAACATTTACCACTTCACTAAACTACAAAATCCAATATTTGTCTTGTTTAGTAACTGTATTTTGTGTAGAACAGAATCACTTTCTCAAGTGTGACATGTAGTTCTCTATTTCATCTGTGTTTCAGTGAGCCTTTTAAATGCTATGACAAGGAGGGGTGAGACAGCCTCAACTATGTTTGTCAAGTGGGTGAGGAGTCAATTTTAAAAAATACTCCAAGCTGGGCATGACTACCCACTCCTATAATCCCAGTAGTGCAGGAGGCTGAAGCAGGAGGATCGAGAGTTCAAAGCCAGCCTCAGCAACAGCAAGGCACTAAAAAAACTCAGTAAGACCCTGTCTTGAAATAAAATTTAAAAAAAAAAAAAAAAAAAAAAAAAACCACTGCAGCTCATTAGAGACCAAATCCTTTGTTTAAAATAATGACAATATTGAATTGCTAAAAGAGCTTACAAATGCTTACTTTCTATCTCTACATTTATCATACAGCAGCCTACAAGTAACAGTAAGGGAACAATAGTAAGACATGTAATAAAGCATATATAATTTGGCAAAGGTGGTAGGTGCTAAGGAGGAAAAGATGGAGTAGGATAAAAGGGTCCCGGGTTTGGAGGGGCTTGCAATTACATAGGTGGTCAGGGAACAATGACAGATTCAAAGGCCACAGAGCTCTCTAATAAAGAGAGTAGTTGGATATAGGTGATCTACAGATCAGTATTATACAAGTAAAGAATTCCTAAAGATAATTAAAAAATTGTAGGGGTGAGCACATAGACATGTAAAAGAAAAGGAAATACTTTCAATTAATAAAAACGTAAGGAGATTCTTCATATCTTTAATAATCAAAGAACTTAAAACATGTCATATCATTTGCTACCTGATTAGCAAAATAAATGGCCACTGCCAAGTGTTACAGAGGATGTGAAGTCACAAAATTTCCTATAGAGCAGTGGTGGGATTGTACAATGGTTCTACTACTTTGAATAATGATGTGGCATTATCATCTAAAATTAAACATTCACATTCATTGCCAGTACAATACTATTTCCTCCAAAGTATATAACCAAGAACAATACATAATATTTTTTTCCTTCATATTTTATTGGTTCATATTAATTATATATAACAAACTCATTGTGACAAAATTATAAAAGTGTGGAATATAATTTGCTTTTATTTGGTCCCCAGTACTTTCATTTGCCTTCCTTTTCCTGTTCCTTTTTCTCTACTCTGCTGATCTTTCTGCTAGTTTTTTTTTTTTCTTTTAGTGTCTTCTGGCTATACATAATAGTGAGATTCACTATGGTATATCCACATACCATATACCTAAATGAAAAGTTAGGTCAGATTCATTCCACTGTTTTTGCCTTATCCTGTCCTTCCTCCCTCCCCCTCAATCCCCTTCCTCTACTCCACTGATCTTCTATTTTGATAGAAATCTCCCATCCTGCCTCTACCCCTCTTTATTTTGGACTAACTTCCACATATCAAATAAAACATTCAACTTTGGACTTTCTGGGTCCAACTTTCACTTAGCACCATAGTCTCCAGTTCCATTAATTTACTAGCAAATTCCATAATTTCACTCTTATTTATGGCTGAGTAATACTCCCTTGTGTTTATATCCAACATTTTTTAAAATCTAAGTTGTTTCCATAGCTTGTTTATTGTGAATTATGCTTCTATAAACACTGATGTGGCTGCATTCCTATAATATGTGGATTTTAGATTTTTTAGAAATATGCTAAGGAGTGGGATAGCTGGGTCATATGGTGGGTTCACTTCTAGTTTTTTGTTGTTGTTGTTGTTGTTGTTTTAAGAAATCTCCACAGTGCTTTTCAAAGTGGTTGCACTAATTTGCAGTTTCACCAGCAATATACTTTTTCTCCATACCGTCACCATCAATTCTTATTATCTGTATTCTTAATAACTGCCATTCTGAGATTAAATCACAATGTGTTTTGTTTTTTTTATTTGCATTTACCTAACTGCTAGAAATGTTGAACTTAAAAAAAAAATGTTTGGGGCTATTTGTATTTCTTCTTTTGAGAAATTTCTTTTTAGGTGGGAATGGCAGTGCACACCTACAATTCTATCATTTTAGGAGGCTGAGACAGGAGGAACACAGTTTAAAGCCAACCTCAGCAACTTAGGGAGGCCCTAAAGCAACTCAGCAAGAGCCTGTCTCTAAATAAAATGTAAAAAAGGGCTGGGTTTGTGACTCAGTGGTAGAGCACTTGCCTAATATGTGTGAGGCACTGGGTTCGATTCTCAGCACCATATATACATAAATAAAATAAAGGTCCATCAACAACTAAAAAAAGTGGAGGTCTGAGAATGTGACTCAATGATTAAGTCAGGGTTCAATCCCTGGTGTGTGTGTGTATGTGTGTGTGTGTGTGTGAGAGAGAGAGAGAGAGAGAGAGAGAGAGAGAGAGAGAGAGATACACGGAGAGACAGAGAGAGACAGAGAGAGAGAAAGAGATATTTCTGTTTAGTTCTTTTGCCCATCTATTAACTGGGTTATTTACTTCTTTTTCTTTTGTGTGTGTTAAGTTTTTTTGAGCTTTTCATAAATATTCTGTCCTATCTGAGGAGCAAAGATCTTGCAGTCTGTGGGATTCTCTTCATGCTCTTTTTTTCTTTGCTGTGAGAAGTTTTATAATTTAATACCATTCCACTTACTGACTTTTGTTTTTATTTCTTGTGCTTTAGGGATCTTGTTAAGGAAGTCAGTTCCTGTGATAACCTGTTGAAGTGTTGGGCCTACAGTTTCTTCTAGCTGTTGCAGTTTGGGATCTAATTCCTAGGTCTTTGACCCACTTTGCGTT